TGGTACGAAGAATTAAAAGTAGGTATTACTCCATCGCAGTTTTTTATTTGTCATTTTACTAAATTTCAAAAGAAAATGATGATATCGGCTTTTTTATATAACTATATTGTTTAAAAATATTTATTGATAAATAATTGTTATCATATTGTGGTTACAAACTATTTTCTTATTTATTGTTATTGTCTAAATATCTAAATGTCTAGTGAATAACTTTTTTCATCTGAGAATATTGCCAATTTCTATCATAGATCTAGATTACGTTAGACTTGGATTAAATTAGTTTAGGTTAACTTATTTTTCATCTGTACTCCTGTAACTCCATCGAAACACTTTTTTTTTATTAATTTTGTCCCCTCCAACCGTGGGACCTATATTGGAGGTAAATAATTACCGAAAACTTTTAAAATACATTAAGCTGTCTTTACCAAAAATACAAGTTAAAATTATGCTGTGTTTTATATTCCTGTGCTTCTTAAAGAGTTTCGGGCTAATGTTGACCTAGTAGTACTGAAAATCAGCTGAGCGGCAGTATCGATCTCGTTGAAATTAGCGAAATTGTCTTTACCTTGCCCCTATCTCTATAACAAATACCGTGTACTAAATGCACCAGCGATTTAAGATATGCGTACAAGGTCTTGTATATATTATTTATTATTATATATATTATAAATATTATAAACAAAGAGACTGAAAAGGAACGTTAATTTTCATAGTTGTTTAGGTCGAAAGAAGAATACTTCAGGCATTGCACTAGATTTTCAAACTTTAATATTAGTCCAAAGTTCGATCAATCTTCAAATGTCAAGGCTATGCACATTAACCTTTCGCCAACTTTGATCCAATACTGGGTAGTCAAGTATGTTTTTATAATATTAGATCAAAGTTCGATCAAGCTTCGAGTGTCAAAGCTAGGGTATATATACAATTACGAAGTATTGGCCGAGATGAAAAGCGATACAGTTGCCTAAACTTGGATTAATTTTGTTTATCAAGCCTTGACATAATGTTGGATGTCCAATTTTGGGTTAATATTATTCAAAAATTCATGGCCCAATATTGGCTATACAATTTTGAGCTAATTATTCATCTTGGCTCAAATCGGCCTAATATTGGGTTAGTATTGTTCACCAAGTTTTCGTTCAGCATTGGCGCTCCAGTCGTGGACTAAGCTTGCCAGCTAGGCTTCGGCTGACGTAACAAACCAGACATTTGTCATGCTTAGGACAATATTGTTTATTTGTTAGCTACATGAACCATTTCGGTCTACTTTCGACCCCCTAATAACTCAAAAACTTTTACATCTACAAACTTGCAATTTTGCCAGTTCATTCCTAGAATCCCAAACTTCATGAATAAAACTATAAAAGTTCTCGAGTTGTTCAGATCTGAAAAGTGCTCATTCATTCAACAAAATTCTAGACCACTTCTAGATAACTTGGAAATTTGAAAACTAATATCAAGATAGATCATTAGGTAGTGGGTAGAAAATGTTAGAACTGAATAGGTATTAGAAAGAATAGGAGAACAGAGGACTCTAGGGAAGTCAATAAAAAATAGGCGAGATAGGTTGGTAGGACACCTTCTCAGGCATGAAGGTCTAGTCAGAGACATATTAGAGGCAGAAACAGGAGTTAGGAGG